CTATAAATTCTCTGGGGTATGCATTACTTAGACAAATCCGCGTCAGTTTGTCTAACTCCTCGTCCCAGAAGTCTTTGTCTGTTAGTCATAGGCTTCTGATGATCATATTCCTCAATATCCCGATCTTCAGTCTGTAGTTATGATGAGACTGGAAATTAAGGATTATTGCCGCATGCGAATTCTTTCTGTATAGTTTCCTCATAAATGTCCCTCTGGAGCGTATGACTTCAACATCCAGAAAGGGTAGTCTTTCATCTTGCTCCACCTCCATTGTTAATTTAATTCTTTCATCAAGTTGGTTAATGAAATTAAGGAATTCACTTAAATTTTCTTTACCATGTGACCAAAGTGCAAAGTAGTCATCCACGTATCACATGAGCATTCTTGGTTGCAGTGATGACTTCACGAATTCCCTTTCCAACTTGTCCAAGTATACATTTGTCAGAAGGTTGCAGCGGTGACTTCTCGAATTCCCTTTCCAACTTGTCCATGTATACATTAGCCAAAAAAGGCGATAGTGGTGATCCCATCGGTAGTCCAAATATTTGCTCATAGATAATGCCGTTAAATGTGAAATATGTTGTCATAACTGTCAGGGTGATTAGTCGTGTTAACGACTCCTTCCGTATCCGTTCTGCCTCCAAAATGTTCTCTTCTCGCTGCAATATCTCCATTAAGGCGCTTATCGCCTTTTCACCAGAGATGTTTCTGTACATGGATTGTACCTCGAAACTCTCCGATCCCACTAACCCAGAGTTCTGGATCCTTTAAGAAAATTTATAAGAATTCTTGACGGTATTCAAGAGTCTGTCATTTACTTTCTAGAGCTTCAAGCAAATGAATTTCGCTAGTTTATGCATTGCTCCATGCTTGTTGTTAACTGTTAGTCTTAACGGATTCCCTTCCTTGTGTATCTTTGTTAGTCCGTAGGCTGTCAGTGGTCTTGCATCAGTTTTGATTAAATATTTAATCATCCATCTGTCAATTTCCCCATTTGTATGCATTTCCTTGTGAATATTCTTCGGTATCCCATTGATATTCGTGGTTGGATCCTTCCTAAATATTTGATAGGTGTTTCGATCGCCTAGGATACTTTCCATTTTCTTCGTGTAATGTTTCCTGTCCATTACAACAGTCGCTCCTCCCTTATCGGCCTGAAGAACTATTTGATCATTCATTTGTAATTTTTTCCGAATACTAACCAATCTGCTCCATTTTATTAGTTCTTGATGTGTCAGGATCCGTAGGATTATTTCCAGTTCCATCTCCCGCCTTGTATCTTCTGGAAATTTATCCGTATTGTTGACAACTTCCAACATGATGTCACTAAGAACATTTCCTTCATTACCTGGTGAGAAATGTAACCCCTTCTTTAAGAGATCCGTCGTTTCAGAATCAAGAGGGATTGAAGATAGGTTTACAACCTGTCCTATCTTCGACTGTTACTGTCAATGCCTTCAATAGAGAACCATCACAATTTGCCCGGGTTGACTTCGTCTTGCGTTGTCTTATTATCCCATAGCTTAGCAATTTCATGTCATGTCGCTTATTAATCAGATCCCGGACCCTCTGTGACTTCTGGTCGGTCATGCTCTGGAGTTTTTAAAAATCATCCAAAGCGAGAACCCTACCTAAATCCTTCTTTTATCTAGACTTAAGATCTATGAACTTAAATAGCTTACGTCTTTCGGTCTCGTAACATTCCTCTAATTTCTGTATGGAAGCGTGATAAAGAATTTCATTAACTTTGTCCAAATGACACTTCCTCATTAGATTGCAGAATCGGGGAGCGATACCATAATGTTTGCAACAATTCACAAAGGCTGAATGACAGGATTGACTTGAAATTGTCTTCTTTGTCCGGCTGTAATAAGTTTGAGAATGTACCAACTCCACTGTCCGATGCTGGGAATCATGGCGGATGACTTCGGACTAGGTGTGTTCTACTAAGTCACCCTGACAACAAGGCCAAGTCGCGACGAGGTCAACCCACTTGTACAAATGGACCTTAGTTTAATTTGGCTAACTTCGTGGGATCTACTCGATGTAACTAGGTTAACTATCGAATCGTGGATATGAAGACCAATATGGTGTGGCTTTTTGTGAGCATTGTCAACTTTACATTGTATATGAAAGCGTGGGTGAAAATAGAAGACATGACGGGGCGAAATCCCTGTAATAACGGTGTTTACAGAATAGGCTAATTTTAGCAACATGAGATTTATTCATCCAATCTCGTTTAAGGTGATGAAGGATTGGTAGTAGAATTTTCCCACAATGATATAAGTAGAGCTGACGTTTCCATTGTACTTCACATAGACTTGCTTTCCCAAAAGTTGTTATCATCCATGGCGGACTGCAGTTTTAACCCCGCATCGGTCTTATCAACGGAAACAGCGGGAGTCAAACCGTGATAGTGCAGAAAGGGAGTTTGACACGTTAACCATTCGACCATATTTTTACGAGTTCCCTTGGATCACAGTCCTTCATGACCTCAAACGAATAAATCTCATATTACTGATTTACTGGTAGTCTCGAAACTACTTAAATACGAAAAATAATTGTATCAAGTCTCAGTCCCGTTCACGCGGTAGTGTCTACCTTTGCTTCTTGGATACACAGAACGGACTTCTGGACCCATCAAGATCTTGATTCATTAGTGAGAGCAAATAGCTCACCACTGCGAATCTACCCCTAAAAGCTGTGATGATCGTAACTTATTAATTGTACCATTGTAATATTTTGCCACAACTGCTTTGTTAGACGCCTTTAGGAAATGCTAACCTATACGTCCCTTAATTTGGCACTTGGATAAACAAGATCCAAAATATTGAAGTGGGTTGACTTCGTTTTCGCGACTTGGTCTTGCTGTAAGGGAGACTTAGTTGAACGTACCTTGTCCAAAGTCCTCTGCTATAATAGTTATCATAATTTCCAACATAAGACCATGGAACTGGAAATGTTTTAGACGTTTCGCCAGCATCAGCAGTGAATCGTGCCATTCTCGGCACCAAGAATTGTTTTATTTGTCTGGCTGTATTCAGTGCTTTGTCTGGCAATATTAATACCGTAGTATAGTGGAAGATATGAAGACCAAGTGGTTATGGCCACACCATCTAAAAGAGACTATGAACATATATATATATATGTAGAAATCGGTTAAAGCAATTTGTTAATGGGCTACTTACAATTTGTCGGGCTTATCTCTTATAGATACGAAAAGAAACTGGGTTTCGATGAATCTCCTGAGATAGCATTGTTGGGAGGACTTTCATTTCGTATGAAAGGACATGAAGAAGAGATTCGTATGTCGATCTCACCAGATGAGGACGGCTGAATCGTGTTGTACTGTAGCCGTTTGGCGTTTATACGATATTCAGGTTAACGCAGTCCACGACTTGGGACTTGGCACAGTCCCAGATCTTTCGCCAGCAAAGTCAATGAGTCTTGCCACTCTCAGCACCAAGCCACAACTCAAAGAGACATGTGAAGTCAATCCCTGGACAAACTTTCGGCCGAAACGGTTGTGCTATCACTTCTACCCTGTCCTGTCCCCTCAATCTATTTTATATCCTAGTGTATCGCTTTCCTCTTATCACATTTTCTATGATAACATTCCACTCTCCCCTCTCGAATTGCTGATCCGACTTGGTCCTCCTATTCTGATATCCGTCATGGGCCAGTAGATCTGTTTCTTATTTTTCCGATAGACCGGTTTCATTCGGTTCCGTTCCCAATGTACGATTTACTCCAGGAGCTATTTCTCAAGCCTTTGGAAGCACATACACTGTCGCCTCACCGAGCAGAGCGCCTAGGTTATGAATTCCATGCTTCACGGGTAGTCTCCCTGATTATACCAGTATAACCTGAACAAACTGTGAACGTCTATCCCTATTCGCCTGCTGTATCTCAAGTGAATTTTTAGACAATGTGAGCATAATGCCGAATTTCAGTGAAGACTGTAATTATACGTCTTCTTGATAACCAGACGGCCAGGCCCCCAAAGTTGTAGTTGTTTCCTCGAACAGATCAAACTCACCTTGCAGGACCTTCAACTTAATAACAAAACGACACGAAAATAAATCGCTTAGATTCGGGATTATAAACAGCGTAAGTTAAAGTCAGTGCGCTCAATTGAAGTGGTTTCCGAGGTGAAAACATCTACTGATTAGTACGACAATCGGAATAAAGTAGTGAATTTATCCTGGCGGTCAGATGATCGGGGGGGCGGGTAATCACAACCGTCACGGAAATTCGGCATTCTAGTCAAATTGACTAGAAATCCATTGGAAATGCAGCAGGCAAGCAGGGATAGATGTCCACAATTAGCTCAGGATACAATGGTCTAATCAAGGATACTACCCGTGAAGGCAAAGCCTATCTGCAAGCATTGGAATCAGAGCCTAGACGCTCTGCACGGCAGGGCAAAAGTGGACGTGAATATAAAGGCTTGAGAAATAGCGCCTCGAGTAAATCGTGCATTGGGACTGGAACCGAGTGAAATTTGTCAACCGGAAAGATAAGAAATAGATCTATGGGCCCATGAGGGAGATCATGTTAGGAGGCCCCGAGTCGGATCAGCACTTAGGAAGACAGGTGTGGCAAGGCAAACAGCAGGTGTGGTGACGCCACACTAAACTCGCCAAAAAAGAGCCCACTTCTTGAGAAGTAAAATATAAACAAGTCAGACGTTTTGATACGGAGGGAATGATATTAGGGGGTAGGTATTAGGCAGTAGATAGATCTATCTAGTAGGTAGTAGCTAGATCAGCCAGGACATAAAGAGTAGTTGTGACACGTCAATTTCGGCAGAAAGTTGCTCGAGGGATTGACTTCATTTGCCCTTTGGACGAGTTGTAGCTTGTTATCGAGAATGATGTTGCTAGCGGAATGTCTGGGAATGTACCAAGCCCACGGTTGGAGGCTGGTAATTATGAAAACTACTGTAGTAGAGGATTTCGTCCAAATATGTCCCCAGGACAGCATCTGCAAGTTGCGAAAACTAAGTCACTCCACTTCAATAAACTAAAGCTCTTAAAAATAAGGCTAACTTATGCAGGCCACTAGGGGTGGGAAAAATAATTACCAGACATTCGTGAAGTCTAGATAAAGTTCCCTGCTAAAATTACATCTCATCCCATATGTATATGTATGTATGTATATATAAGATTGATTTGGCCTATGTACTTCCT